TAAAAAAATCTAGATTAAAAAGTGAAGAGGATTGACGGGAACAACAGCGTGAAATAACAAAATTAATCAAGGGAATAGAACTATATACGTGATTAATAAGAAACAGAAGTTATATGAAAAAAATATAATATAACCGTAGATTAATTAAGATTAGCTAAAATGATCAAATTTTATGTCACTCTTTGTGCAGCACGCAGTTCTAGCCCAAGGTTATGGAACCTTTCCCTATTTTTGATATGAAAAAGTTTTTAGCCTTAAATAGAGATATCTGTTTCTTGCCATTTATATTGTTGATAAATTAAATTTTTTTGTATCCTATTCAAGCTTTCGTTTTCGTGGATAAATATAAGGTTTCTTATTAAATATATCTGTGCAGCTATTTCTAAATTGCCCACAGTTTTTCAAGCTTTACTTTTTAGAGGTAGTATTTATAAGCATGTAAAATCTATTACAAAGATCACTTTATTGTTTCAAAGAAATCGCGCCAATAGTACATTCTGCATAAACTAAATCGATGACTACATCGAAGCTTCGTGTGTAACATCCACTAACACTGTTTTCACACTACGTGTGTAACATCCACTAACACTGTTTTCACACTTCGCGTGTAACATCCACTAACCTGTTTTCACACTACGCGTGTAACATCCACTAACACTGTTTTCACACTTCAGGTGTAACATCCACTAACACTGGTTTTCACACTTCGCGTGTAACATCCACTAACACTGTTTTCACACTACACGTGTAACATCCACTAACACTGTTTTCACACTTCGTGTGTAACATCCACTAACACTGTTTTCACACTTCGCGTGTAACATACACTAACACTGTTTTCACACTTCGCGTGTAGCATCCACTAACACTGTTTTCACACTTCGTGTGTAACACCCACTAACACTAATGCTTAACCGTTCTGTTTAACCACTCTTATCAACACACAGATAAAGGAAAAAGTGTCTCTTTCATCCTTGAATGTTTGCCTACCCCCTCGCCCCACCAACTAGTAAAAATGTCTGGCATTTAGCCAAGGAAATGCAAACAGTAAGTTCGATTTACTTTTGTCCAGCAAACTCGGGTGTCGATCTCGTATTACTTGAAATTTTCTTTCAGAGTTTTCACTATTAAAGAGATAGAGATAAAAATAAGACAAAAGACTGAAAGACATGTTACTTGCGTATGTAATATAATTCAATGCGAGGATGTAGCTTCTGGAAAATCTCTAAGGTAAAGTATGAGGTAACCTTTGGTTAAATTTTCATGATAAAAATAAATTATCTTCAGAGCATCCACGTTCATCAAGAATTAAACTACAAAACCCCCCGATTTCAGTGATATCCTCCTGTAAAAATAAACATTGTGATACTAACAAAAATATAAAGTAATGTTGTTCACAAATTTTATTTCAATCATAATAACTAAATTAAAAACGACACTTGAGATATTTTCGAACGTTGTGTGAAATGCATGGACACAAATCTATTAATTTTAACTAATTAGAAAAACTTTATAGTTGATAATAACATTCGTGTGATGTTCAGAACGGTACTTAGGAATAGTCTAGAGCAAATTGAGAACAAAATTAAGTAGTCTGAAAAAAGAACCAATTACTACTAATTCATTAACTATGCCACAATAACAAAAAAGTGTTTTTTTAAAGAGAGCTTTAATTTATTTGTATAAATGCAAGTAATCAAGATAGCTTAAATTTAATAAGTAAGAAGTGACTAATTTTCAGTTGGTCTACTTCAAAGATTACGATCATATTGAAATTTAATAACTTTGCTATAACTGACTCTTATAGAGTTTTATAACTGTCATATCTAGGATTCAAACAAGTTGGTCCTCCGATGGGACAGCGGTAAGTCTTCGGATTTTCAATACTAAAATCAGGGGTTCGATTCCCCTCGGTGAACAGAGCAGATAGCCCAATGTGGCTTGCTATAACAAAACACACACACACACACACACTACAAAAAAAAGTGGAACTGCCACGGAAGTGTAAAGCTGAAGACGAACGCATTGTCCTAATTGGATATAGTCTTAT